TTTTGAAATATACCTTAGAACCCCAACTCTCTATTCAAGCATGAGAACATACTTCCACTATAGAAAAAGTTTATAAAAGAGAGAATCTATTATGCATTCAACTCTCATACATAATCTATTCACAAACCGCCAATACCTTATGTATTTTAATAAACTTTTTCTCCTAATGATGAGCACATTTCACAGATTTCCATGAACTTCTCAAACCAATGACGTTTTTTCTATTCACGTAGATGAACACAACATATTTTCAATAAATTGAGAATTTTTTTTGAGCTTAAACAACCTCAACTCAATGAAAATAACAAATAAACACTTGAAAACATAATAATCACTCAATAACGAATTCTATGAAAAATGAATCAACTTATGGGGCTAAGAAGTCCAAAATCCTTAAAATCAACGAACACAAGGCACGATAAAGAATCACGTATGAATTCGGAGTTCATTTAACTACCTTATGGAGCTAAAATAGCTTCAACAAAAACCGAATTCCACATACCAACCTACTTATGAAATCAAATTATGTAATTCAACCAATTCAACAATAATTTGCTCAATAATTGAAGAAAAACTAGTTTGAATCAATTCTCATTCATAAGGGATTTAATATAGACATAAAAAAACCCATAAAGAACACCAACCATTTTTGGAATATTTGGAACAAACACAACAAACAATAAATGTAAAATTGAATAAAAAACAAAAAATTGGAGAAGAAAAAGAAATTGACAAATAAGAGTTACCAATTGTTGAAGAAGATGAACAAATTGAGTAAACTAGAGCTGTGATGGAGGCTGCCCACCGGAGCTGGAGCTGCTTCCCGTCTGCCGGCCGTTCGCCGCGCCGCCTGCCACCATCAACGGCGACCACCATAGCAGCGGCCAAGCCAATGCTTTATTCTTGTTTTATTCTCTGTGTGAATTCCCCCCTTCATATGTGTCGATTCTCTTCAATTTATAGTAAGGAGGAGCTGAATTCTTCCCGTTGATAATTGATTACTGCGCAATTGATGGAGCCGAACGTTGGAGGAGTTATGCGTTTGATTTGGGTGCTGCGCTCCGTGTACGATGGCGAAGAAGAAGGAGTCGTAGACTTTTTTTTCTTTTACTTGTGCGAATTAAAAAGCAGAGGAGGAATGGGCCGGTTATTGTTGTTGATGATGGATTGTGCTTCAACCCAATTTTGATCTCTTCTTTTTAAACATGAACTGCACTTTGGCCTTATGCTGCACTTTCTCCACAAATAAGATATCTGATCATTTGGGTTAGGAAAAATGAAATAAAAATAAAAGAAATGTAAAAAAATGATTAAAAAGTTACTATTTTTGAGAGAAAATAAAAAGAGTGTAAAAATAAAATTAAAATAAAACTAAGCTAAACAACTAAAAATTAAACTCTAAAAATCTTTAAAATGCCTAAAAAGAATAAAAAGAACTAACCCAAACCCGACTTATCACTTCCCCATTAAGATATGCACAAATACAATTTGTGCTGAATATATGCATATCTACACCATCTTCCCTCTTTTGAGATTATCAAAAAGAGATGGGCAAAAAGATATATGCTCATGCAAATAGATATCAAACAAACAAATAGTATCACATTGTCCAACTAAAATATAAATCAACATTAGTTGGAGTTAATAAAGTGAATCAACTTCCCCTCTTAATTGACGTTTCACCCAATTATGTGCTTGGCGCATCTATTTCAACTCAAGTCGAAGTGTTGAAGCACACCTTCCTTAATGAATCTACGAAGCAAATCTTGGTACCCAATGCCTTTTGGGTCCAGGGGTGTTATGGCAATAATAAAAATCATATGAACGATGCATCACATTATCTTGACTTAGAAGAAAGTGCCTATACTTAGTGTAACAAACTGGTGTGATGTGTCCTACTTTATTACAATAATGTCCTTGTAACACCCCAATCCGTATAACACGAAATTACACGAATTAAGGTGAAACGAGAGTTAAAAAAATTTCACTTGACATTTGAAAATGACAATTACTTATAAATATTAAATTTACAGTCTCTAGATCGCGACCCATTTAAAAAATATTTTCAGAGTAATGCGGAAGTACAATAATAATCAAATCATGACACATTTAAAAATCTGATGATCAAGATTTGCCTGCCATCCTTGCATCTCCTCTGACTCAATGCCCTCCGGGAGTGGTTCCGTCATTGTCTTCTTGTTACCTATGTGTAGTCAACGAAAAATACAAACTACACGCTCAGCGAAACCGCTGAGTGGTACCACGCTAGAATTGTAGAACAATTCATAGACATATACATATACATATATATACTTCCACAAAATGTATAATAATATTCATGATATGGCACAGTATATCATATGTTCAATTTGATGATTTATGATAGTGGATATTTAATGATGATTACCTGATGGCATATTTAATCAATATAATTATTCTTGATGATGATTACATGACACCTATGTAATCAATATAATTGTTCTTGATGATGATAACATGATTTCACGTTTAATCAATTTGATTGTTCTTGATGATGATTACATGACACCTATATAATCAATGTAATTGTACTTGATGATAATAACATGATGCATGATCCTATAACTTGCAAGGACACCCTTGCACTATGAGATTCGCCCATTTGGTACGACGAACTCACGCGGCCTTAGTCTCACGAATGAGGTGAGACTAGAAAAATAGGGGTGGTACTCAAAACCTGAATACCATGTACGTACACTAAGCCCGGAACGGGTGGTGTCGGACTGCTAAGTCCCGCACATCACGCTATAAGAGACGCAATTACGCATGATCTCTTACGCATGCATATGATATGATATGCTACAATATTTGTGATGATATGAGTCATGTGATATGAACAATTTGTAAACAATATGAATGGATAAATATACTTTATTTTATTTGGGTGAAATATGATAAAAATATCATTTAATTAAGCTACGGGGCTCGGAACGGTGGACCGTTTAGCACGGCGGTCGACCGTGCTATATTTCAACTCGTCGGATTTCTGGATCACCGTGACGGTCGACCGTGGTTGACCGGCGGTCGACTTTTGTTGACTTGTTGGAACGGCGGCGTTCTGCTGGGCTGGCGACGGTCGACCGTTCGCCGACGGCGGTCGACCGTTTTGCTGACAGTAGTGGTCCGTTTCGAAGTTTAATATGACGATCGACCGTTTGTGTCAACCGTTTGGGTCTGCGAATCTTTCTCTTGATATTTTGAGTGTCCAAAATACTTCTTTAAGTCTTTTAAACACCTTTTATTAATCTATACATATTGTTGGGTTGATTTCCAAAGTTTATATTTACTTATGTATATATTAACTTTATGGATTTGGTGTATTTTGATCTCAACATATAGATGACTTATATATGCATCACATATATATTTTGGGATGGTTTCAACGTATGGATTAATATATATGTTCATGTACGTATGTAATGAATGATTCGACAAGTCTAACGCAAGGGTACAGACCTGGAAATCATAGGCCGAAACCTTACGGATGAGCGGGAGTGGAAACAACATCAAAATTCACCAACTTTGTCATTTCCGTCACAACTAGACAGCCTGCGGTATTTTGGGCATATCTCCATCGTTTCTTCACAGAATTGCAAACCGCTTGATTCTGTGGATTCCTAAGATGTAAGGCTATAACTTTTGTATAGAAAGTATTTCGAGTTAACATATGTAAGATAGCGTAAATCGGACCTGAAGTCAAGGGAAAGTTGCTGTCCAGAATTTTGAATATGTCGATGAACACGATTCCGACGATTAACTCACTAATTTCAACATTCCAATGCCGAATTTTCTTTGCAATACCTTCCGGATGTTCCTAATAATTGTTAGAGAGTTTATGGTAAGTATTTGGAATGAAACAACATGAATATGGTGAGGAAACATAGCCAATCCCGAGGAGCTCGCCACCACTGGCGCAGTCCCGGAATTTTGGCCATATCTCCTTCGTTACTAAACGAAATCGCGAGCCGTTTGTTGGGTTGGATTCGTATTGTCCGGGGCTACAACTTTGGTTCAGAAAGTATTTCGAGATAATGAATAGAAAATTTCAGTTTTTACCTTGAAGTTGCTGCTGCGTTTTTGGACTCAAAATTTGGAAGCTTTGGATGATTTTCTTTCTTCTTCTTCTCCTTCCCTAACACACAATCATGGATATGAAACTTTCTTTTCCCTTTCTTTATGTTTGGCCGACAGAGAGAGAATGGAGAGGGGAGAGATGAGATGATGGTGATGATGGTGGAAGATGATGATGTATAATGATATTATGAGAATTTGGAGTGTAATTATTATAGTCATGTTGGGTTATAGGTTAGGATTTAGATTTTAGTGATAGTAGGAATCTCTTTGTGGACTAATAGAGATTTCAAGAGATATCACAAGGCTCCATACGTGATTGAGTATAATTTGTTAATAGCCAAACTGACTAGTTTATCCCAAACGGTACGCACTTTTTCACCCAACCTGCTCCAAATTTAAAACAGATTGCGTTTTTGGAATCAGACTGTCAAAACTAGAATTTTGATGTAAACGAAATATTTTTCTGAGAACTTTTATTTTTCTCAGTGTTCAGGTCTGTCTTAGTCATAAATTAATTTAATAATATGAATGAGATAAAAATATATGAATTAAATCCCAATGATAAATATGATGTTGTCAAGTGTCAAAATTATGATTTCTAATTTGATGAAATTACCTTTGAATTGAGTTTATTTTATGGGTCAAAGTTACAAATTTTAATATTTAAAATTGTCATAACTTGAAATTTATAAATCAGATTGATTCATAAAATGTACCGTTGGATTCTTCTCTTCGAGACCTATCCATAAAAATAAGTTTTTAACAAAAAGTCATTATTTTGAAAATCTCTTTATTTTTGGTCAAACATACAGATATTTCTTATTGGACAAAAATTACTTTTGTTTTATAATAAATTTTAGGCCATATTTTGTGGCGTTACAGTCCTACTTTGAGCCATAAGACAAATGGCTACTTCATCATCAGATGAGGAAGAGGAGCTAGAGTTGGATTGCTTTCGGCGTTTGGACTTCTTGATTTTTCTATTAGGGCAATAACCCTTGATATGTCCACGCTCTCCACATCCATAGCAAGTAGGCTTTGTACTCTCATTCAATTGCTCAAGCTCATTTTGCAAGAAGTCATTAAATAACTCGAGAATGTCACTTTCTCTAGATCCACTTGTCTCGACATATTTTGACGATGAGGCTTTGAGTGCAACTCCTTTGAATGATAGATTTTGATCCCTTTTGATCTCCGCTGCACTAGAAAAGTTAGACATTTCATAAGTGAGTAGTTTACCTCGAAGTGCGTCATATATCTATGGGCTTACCTCAAAGCTAAATGGAGGTTATGAAGATTTTCCGGTGAAACTTCCGGCGAGGATTACTCTTAGCTCTTGCGACTTCACACCAAAATGATAGTACCACTGCGTTCTCCACACTCAAAGCCGACTCTCAGAAGAAAATTTAGAAGAAATGGTGAAGAATTGGGTATGAAGAGTGGCTTTATATAGGAGAAGAATGGAGGAAGACCAACGTTGATGATGAAGGTTTCCCTGTTTCGGCGGCTGAGAGGAGCGGGCTGGTGTCCTTCTCCGATTTTAAACATAATTCCCTGATTGGGACTAATTTGTTCCTAGTCGAGAAACACTTTTTGGTGCAACTTTCTCCGAATTGAAATTTGATTGAACCGTTGGGATCAGACAGTTAAACTCTACACAACAATATAAATTTCATTATTTATTGACAAACTTTATAAATCACATATTTTCGGGGCGTTACAGGGAGATCTTGGAGAAGGTGACAACCATTGTTGCGTCATGGAGATGTGTGAATCAGTGGAATCGGCTGCAGTGCGATGCTGGAGAGTTTCACACACCAGTCCCTGATTGGGACTAATTTGGTCCCAGTCAGGATACACTTTTTGGTCCAACTTTCTCTGAATTAAATTTCGATTGCACAATTGGGATCAGACAGTCAAATTCCATCCAATGATATAATTTTTATATTTATTTGTAATACTTTTTCCAACATCATATTTTTGGGTGTTTGACTTTGACAGATTCAAAACTGATTTAATTAATTTTTGTTAGACAATGCGTGCAACTCTAGGGGGGGGGAGAATATAGTTCTTGAGAATGTTTACCGATTTTCGTTGGATTATAAAAATAAACGAGAGTGCAGTGGCAATAAAAGAGAGAAGGCAAAGAACTTACCAATGTATACTTGTTCACCACCGCGTGGCTAGTCTAGTTCCCCGAGAGTCTCTCGAAGCTACCACTACTTATCAAGCTTCGATAGATGCTTGACAAATCATTTACAACACGAGAACTTGAACCCCACAAGCCTCAACACAACCGCTCGTAGATGTGCCCTCTACAAGACTTGACACTCATGACTTAAGTCACATAAGTCTTGTACAACAAGAAGAATAACCTTTTTCAACCTCACAACAATAACTCTCACAAGAGTAGAGATGAGAAGAGATTTAGGTCTATGGATGACAAGAATACTCTTTTGAAAACAAATAGTTTTTTCTCAAATTATATGAATTTGAGGAAGGATTGAATGGAAGAGTATAACCTCAAGAATGGGGTTTTTATGAGTGTTTCTTGTTGTTAAAAATGACCAAGGAATGGTGTTTAATTAGGAATTGAAGGAATATATCCGTTGGGGAAAGAAATAAAATATCTTTGACAAATTTTAGCTTAGATGATCGATCCAGGCCATGTGATGGATCCAGATGTGATTGATACAAGCCATGGGATTGATTATATAGACTGCAAAAATTAAGAAGGATTTTTTATCTGAGTTTCAGGTGATCGATCCATGCACCTAGATCGATCCCACGAAGGATATTCTGTTGGGAAACGAGGCTTGGATAACGCAGCGGAAAACAAAAATTTATAGTCCAAAACTCGATTCCACCTTAGAACAACTTACGTAAATTACTAGCTATAGTAAGAGATTTACCTTAAAGGTGAAAACGGAGAACGGAGGAACGGTCGGGGATGGTTTTGAGGAGATGAACGTAGCGCCAAACGTATGAAGCCTCCAACGTATCCACACGAACTTGCTCCGGAGTCCTAGATTAAACTTGTGCTAGCAAGTTTAATTTAGGATAGTAAAAACTATAATAATACTACTTTGGGAGTAATAAATATATATATAGTAAAACATTTATCTTATAAATATTTCTTTATAATATTTTGTGTATATTTCTAACACTTTAGAAAAATAACTTTGAACACAAAATATTTTTTTTCTCTCTTCCTTGTGATGGCCGAAACTATTAAGTGTAAAAGGGGAGGGATTGTTTTTCATTTTATAATAAACAACTTAAATGAATTTCTAGGAAATAGCTTAGGGACAAAACAAATTAGGATTAATGTAATGTCCCCAACCAACACAACAAGACAAATATCCTTTTGTTAATCAAATATTTGATTATATCAATCAAATATATCATTAGGTAGAAAATCAATTTATGTCTTGTATTTTTCCCTTTAATATTTTCGGCCATAGCATATTAAAATACATTACATTTTATTTTTTTTGCATCAATAATTATCATATAATTAAAATGATGAAAA